GCCCAACCTCTCCACGAAAATCGTCACGAAGCTCCTGGAGGGTGCAGAGATGACATCTTTTCTGCACATTCAGTACCAGCCTACCTGGAACCCGACATCCTCACGCCAACACGAGCAGGCGGAAATACAGATGAGCTTTGAATTAGAAAACAGTGCTGCCAAGAGGGTTTGGAGGAACGGTCCGAGACCTTGTGCCCGGCTTGAAAGCGCCAACCCCAACGTTCCCAACGATGGGACAAGTGCAAAAAGATGATTTTCAGAGCTGCAGGGAAATACTGAGGCAGGCACCTATAGCCAGAATTCAGGCAATGGCGTTACACAATTCCCCAAGAAGGGGCAGTGCCTCCATCTTTTGCCGCTGCTGCTTCGAGGTGGAGCTGACATCCTGGGAGGCTTCAAACCCTAAGCTGCCCTGAGCCGCCCTGCAGGTCTCGGAAAGCTGGACCACTGAGCGTACACATGCGTACATTACATATAGTTTGGTGCGCGAGCAAGATACGCAAGGCTGGCACAAGGCTGGCACCAGATTTGAAGCACGCGGGGGTCCTGGCTCAGCGTCGCCATCATCTGCTGGAGCTGCTTCCATTGACCCTGGTGCTTTGCATGTTGGGATGGACGACATGCCCCCGAAAGAAGGTATCAAGCCCGTGAGATGCCTTCGCCAGGACATCTTGCTTGGCCGTGGTGCTGGTCATGAAGCGAATCTCGGCCTCAGGGTCGAAAACACCGTTTGACGGTGCAACGGACTGCTTTTGTTACATTGACGGTTCATTCGCAAGCAAACCAAAATGTCACAATCCACCCGGAATTGCCTTGATCTCTTCGACTGCATCCTCACGGCAGTGTCTTCAGGATGCACGCAGCAAGCTGAATTCAATCTAACCTTGAGTTTGAGACTTGGCTCTGCCATTGTTACAGTGCTATGACACGCACAGCAGACATTGTTCAAGTATCCGTGCCTTTGGCATGACACCGGCTCGACGGCGTCTGCCGCCGTTCAATGGGAGCACCTCAAGCGGCAAAAGAATCTAATGCGCGACGGCGCGGGGCAGAACTTTCAGCATGTCCTTTGGCCGTGGCTTGGCTTAGTTTGTTTGCGGGCAACTCAGGAAACCACAAATCCCACAAATCATCCGTGGCCCAACCGCGCCGCATGCCAGGCCTAGCCTAAAGTTTGGTGCTGGGCTCCGCACAGGGAACTTCCCGCAAGCCTCTCCGGGCGTCTCTGCCGCACGCCGTGCGCGGGAACAGGAGCCAAGCTTGATTGTGACTGCGATTTTGAACAGGAGCCTAAGCTTGATTGCGACTGCGATTTTCACTGTCAACTGCATAAGAGCATATTCTTCTGATCAACAAACTCTGACAGGACATGAATTAGCGTTTTTTCTCGCCGCACGACTAATCGACTGAAAGAAGCCGTGCCTCTCATTGTGAAAAAGGAAATCGAAGTGTCACCTGGACCACGGTCATCGGAATTCAGGCAGTGAGCGTGGTTCGAGAGCCGGCAGGGGGCACTGAGCCCAGCCAGCCAATCGGCAATTGGAAAGAACAAACCACTGTCCACTCTGTTCCGCATTCTGGCCTCTTCAAGGCACGGCAACACGCAGAAACGCGAACGTGATTTTCTGGGCTTCGATGAAGCAGCGGCCGTCCAAGGTCTCGGCCTGACCTTTTTTGGCCTGGAAAAACGGGTTTCAGGTTTAGGGTTTGCGGCGCCCGAGACCCTAAACCCTAAACCCTAAACGACAAACCTAAACCATAAACCCTAACTCTTACGCTCGCGCACGGCCGGCAACGCTTCGGAAGGTCTCCGTAGGGAAAGAAGAGGTGCTGGGTGTAGGAGACGGGTTTCGGGTTTAAGGGGGAAGTTTATAGATCAGGCCGAGCAACCCAGATGATAATCCGGAAATCTAATGCGTGTTACTCCGGCAGGCGAGACGGCTGGCTTGTCATTGTAAAGGGAGGTTGCCAGAGCATGTGTGAGGTGTGGATTCAAAGCTGTGTGTCTCTCTCTCTATATATACGAAGTGAGCCGACTGACTGCGCAGCAGCAAATTACACATCTCGGCGATACGTAGCCGGCATATAACATGTGGTCAATAGTACAAGATCCCATCTCCTATGGTCGATAGATGAGAACCAAGCCAGACTTGTGCTTGCTGGATGCAGCACATGGGGCTGCAGCGCACATCAAGCAGCCTCACCTTGGGCTGCTGCAGGCGCTGCCTGAAGTTCGGCTTGTGCTAAATAAAACGATGCCACCGGAACCACATCCGAATTCAGGCAGCCGGCAGGTAATGAGCACAAGCCAGCCACCGGCAGTTGGGCAAAAGCCCTTGTCTACTCTGTTCCGCATTCTGGCCTCTTCAAGGCATGGCGGTGGAAAGTGCTTCCACTTCGGCAATGCGCAGAAACGCGATTTTCTGGCACTGAATACCGGGCAACCCGGATGATCAAGCTCTGCTGATCCGGAAATCTAGTCCGTGCACTCCGGCAGGCGACGCTGGCTGAGCGGCACATATCTTCACAGTCGAGACGCTTGTTCACAACACTCACAATTCCACTATTATACCTATTGAAAAGGTTTCTAAAGCAAATCCTTCTTCCTGATGAGACGGACTGAGTGGGACCCTTAAGCGTCTTGCTTATGAGAACAAAATACAAAATGTTTCCTACTGTGACCTGTTGAAAGAGAATCTAAAGCAAATTCTGCTTCCGAATGAAACCTATGGAAAGGAAAGGGACACTAAGGCTCATTTCTTAATATCTGTTGAGTGGGACCTGCTTCCCAATGGGATCTAGTGAATATGACACAGAAATCTACCCTGCTTCCTAGAGAGACCTGTGTTGGGCTACGAATCTTGCTTCCTATGGAGACCTATTGCCTGGGATGCTACAATGAGATCTATTGAGCGGACACTAAACCAAAGCAAATCTTACTTCTCAATGAGACCTATTGAATGGGACCAAATCCTGCTTCCCATTGAGACCTACTGAATGGGACACTAAAACGAAACCTTCTTCCCTATGAGACCTATTGAATGGGACACTGCAGCAAATCCTTCTTTCTAATGAGACCTACTGAACAGGACGCCAGATAAATCCTCCTTCCTCATGGAGATCTAATTATTGCGTGGGACACTGGAGCAAAACCCTGCTCCCAATGAGATCTATTGTTAATATGACACTAAAATACATCCGGCTTCCTAGTGAGACCTATAGATTGGGAGTCTTGCCTCCTACAGAGATGTACTGAAGCCCGGCCCGGCTTCCTTATGAAACCCAATAATCCTGCTTCCATCTGTTGAATGGGGCACCAAAACGAACTTTGTTTCCGATGAGACCTGCTGAATGGGACACGAAAATGGTCTATGGATGAAAAACAACGAAGCCGCCTGCCAGACTTGTGCTTGCCGGATACAGCACATGGGGGCTGTGGTGCACTTCAAACGTCCTCACTTTTGGGAAAAAAGGGATCAGTGTCATCTGGACTGCGGTCATCCGAATTCAGGCAATGAACGTGGTTGCGAATGGTCTGCACGGCCTCAGGTGGGCCTTGGCTGACAGCCAAGGCCCCGCTCCACACGCTGGTGCCTCGGATTTCAAAAGCTGTATCAGGGGCATGAAGAAGCCAGCTCGCCAGGCGGCTTCTGTAAGTGCAAGTGAAACTAGGCCTTGCCTCCGAATCACTGCCGTCATATGGAGCAGGTGAAATCCCGAGTACTTATGCATTGAATGAAAAGAAGATCCTGGACCGGAATGCGGTGAATGACATCCATGTCGAACCTTCTCTGCAGGGCTAGATGATGGGCAGCGAATTGCATCTGTGATCAGGAACTCTCGGCAAGGCGACAGGATCGTGATCCAGTTGCCTGGCGTGATGGGCCAGTGGGTAGCGATTTCGCTACCCAGGGTCCTGCGAAAGGGCCTTATTCAGCCTTGAGCTTCTGCCCCGATTGCTGCAAAATAGGGTGGCCTTGCCTTTCGGCGTAGAGACGGCCAAGGCCGCCAAGGCCCTCGGAAAATCTGTAGACCCGCACATCCAACTCCACAACCGCAACAGCTGACTAACCTTCAATTGCCTTACGGTCGCCAATGAGGAAATCCCACACGCATCGCAACACAAGTGATTCGGTCAAAATCATATCACAAGTGGAAGGAGTACCATGCGCAGGGATACGGTAATGCCCAAGAATCCCTCTCTCTTCTCCACGGGGCTATGCCCCCCTCACGGTTTCTGCGCCCTTCCACGCAGGCACATGCTACAGAAAGGACTCCAGTGGGGCATCAAACGATTCCGGTGACCCGAGGATCCATCGACTGCTAGTTTGGACCACTGGACGCAAAGCCCAATTTCTGCCCTGGACTTGACAACGCTTTGATGCAGTGAGCTGAAGGCCATTGGGTGCGCACAGGTCTTTCTGAGCTACTCAATGTTGCTTCGTTTTGCAAGGGCAGGGACTTCTTTTCTCAAAAAGTGGGGTTGATGTTAGATCTTCAGGATAACGCAGCGCGCTCAGGACAGCAGGCAGTACGCTACTCAGGACCACAGGCAGACAGTACAACAGGCGGCAGGCTCAGTTGGCAACTGTATTGGAACGCGGTTTTCGTAAGGCAGGGCTTGGGAAGTTTAGGCGAGCGACTGCGCCGGAACGCGGTGTTCATAAGCAGGTGAAGGGAGGCTTTGGCAGGCAACTGTACCGGAATGCAGGTTTCCAGGCGTTCTGGCTGGCTGGGACAAAGAAAGCAAGTCTCACTCACTATGGCCACTAGCTGGTCTGAAGGGGTTCTCCAAGCTTGGATGGTTGGCGCCAGGGTGGGCCCAGCTGAGTTGGGGCCAAATTTCCGCAATATGGAAGGCAACGGTCGACGAGACCGTCTCTCACGTTAAGTCGAGTTTTGAGGGACAGGGTGGGGATGATCGAAGAAATGCAATATCCTTTTTGTGAGGGTCTCCATCTTCGTTCCGCCCGAACTCTTCTTTTTGTGATCAGAGGGTCTCAGAGGCGCAGCTTGTACTGCGGCCGTGGGTTCCAGGCGGCTATCAGTACCTGCATGAGGCTCTTAGACTGCTACATGGCTCAGTAAGGCTTGAGGGTTTGGGCTCAGCAGGTTCATGCGAGTTAAGGCAGCTAACTTTCCAGGATTTGCCAGCATGTTCTGCCACCGCTCCCTGAGTTGAGTATGGTTTTGTTAAGATGCTTTATGCTTAGGGCTGAGGGCTTAGGGCCCTTTTGGGTTTAGGGTTTAGGGTTAGTATGATAGTGCAGTGTACCTGTCACCCAAAGGCCTCCTTGCTGCTGTTGTTGAGCTCATTGTCCCAGCATGCCAGCTCTTCCAAGGCCTTCAGCTCCCTCAGAACACACACCAAAGCCTGGCAGAAGGTAAAACTCTGAAAGCTCTTGCCCTTGGCTCAGGGGTTCTACTCTTGTCCAAGCTAGGCAACAGCTGCGAGGTGACTCGTGCCAGGCTTGCTTGCTGCTGTACATCACTGCAAAGCAAAAAACCATGCGAGCGGTGAGCCGAGGTCTTTCTAGAACTTGAAGCGTGCCTCTGCGGCGGCATCTCCGAAGGTGCAGCTGTGGAGGTTGAGGTGCTTCAGTCCCTTGATGCCTTCGATCGTCGTCGAGAGCGCCTTACTCATCTCGCTTCCAAGCTGCTGTTTCAGAGAGAAGGCTCTTCTCTCAAACACAAGCTGCAGATCGACTGAAGCGTCTCACTCTGCTCTGCCTGCATTCCGCCGTCTCCGATGCTGTTCAGGGAAAGGTCCAGGAGCTCCAGTGCAAGCTTGCGTTGGAAGGCAGTGGCAAGTGCCTGGCAGATGGCACGCGCCCGCCTTGTGACAACGCCTTTGAGCCTCTGAGCAAGAAGCTTGCCCGTAGACTAGCCTGCATTAAGCTACCTTCCCGGCTGTGGCACCTCTGCTCCACGCTTCCCAAAGGAGTTGCTTCCGAGGTTGAGATGCTTTAGCCGCTCAAGGTTCGTGAGGACTGACGACAATGCCTTGCCGCCATGCTCTTTTGTGCAAAATGCAAACACCCGCTAAAACTCAGAACGTGCACCGTGCGTCGTGCGTCCACGATGCAGCTAATGAAGCTAACATAAACTAATGCGTCTCAGGACCTGCAAGCCGCTGTCTCCGATGCTGTTCGTGCAAAGATCCAGGAGCTCCAGCTCAAGCTTTCCCTCGAGGGCGCTTGCAAGGGCCTCGCATACCGCTCCCATGGCGGGCATCCCTGAAGCAATGACACTTTATCATTTCATCATTCTACTTCATCTGGCTCAAGCTGCCCAAGGCGCATCCTCTCAATTCGAGGCAGGAGAGGGTTTATTGCACATATGGATCCTTGAAACTTGTGGAGTTGTCGTTCGCCGCGCGCGGTTGCACGTGGAACGTTGATGGACCCGCAACCAGAACCCCGGAAGCAACTGGGGGTCGTGGATGTCTGAACACATCCGAACACACAGTACATCATAGTACACCAACATTTGCCCGCCTCTGCGCCAGCGTCTTCAAGGTTGTTGCTGCTCAGGTTCAGGTGCTTCAACGCGCTGAGGCTCTCGAGGGTCGGTGACAGAGCCTATGCAGGGCCTATGCTACACATCGACGTGCCCAGGGGCCCCCCTACAAGAAACACTTTCTGAGCAATGCCTCCATGCTTCTGTCTCCAAGGCCAGTGGCGCGAACGTCGAGGAACTCTAGCATAAACTTCTGCTGCAAAGCCCCAGCGAGGGCCTTGTTCTCGGAAGGTGGCCACGCAAAACACTCCGCCAAGTGCTCGTAATGCCCGCTAAATATAGCCAAATGCCCAATGTCACCCGAGCTCGGGACTTGCGCCCCAGCGTTTCCAAAAAGGTTGCCGCAGAGATTGAGGTGCTTCAACACCGTGAAGCTTTCCAGGACCGGCGACAGGGCCTTGTGCAAAGCAACGGAACCTGTCTGGCTGCCATTGAAGCATTCATTACCTCGTTTTTGTTTTCTTCAGCAGTGAGCCTGCGTGCGAACAGTCGCGAAGTACCGACTTGCAGCTTGGTAGTATGTGAGGTGTGTGTGTGTGTGTGCAGTGCGTGAACCACAGGTTGCCAATGTGGCTCAAAGTGTCCCAAGACGGGACAGCCAAACAGTTGTGCGACTGTGGTCCGAAGTTTGTGTTCCACCCTCCTGAGGCATGTGGCCCGGCCTCGCTGTTGCTGGATGATCGGCAAACTGGATTTGAGACTTAAACCCCCCCCCTCCCATGGACAGCAGGAGCTGCGAACCAGCGATAAAGGAAGGAGACCGTCCTAGTGCCATGTGTACCGATAAGCCTGTTTGGTGTGCATGTGGGCCATCCTGCTTGTGTGCCCTCATGGGACCAATGTTTCACCAATGTTTCAGTGTTGTGAACCGACCTCGAAAACTTATAAGAATTATGCCGGCGAAGACCCCAAACAGTAAGATTGCAGATCAAGGGAAAGCGGCATGAAGCAATAACGCGACACGTAGAATTCGGCAGGCCGAGTTTACAATCAGACAAATTGGGCTCAGTATGGAGGCGTGGGTTTCAGGCTTCTCTTTGCAGCTGCCAGGGGTCGGAACAACCCTTTCCCAATCCAAACGATGGATTGACATGGATGTCCAAGCGCTGCCCACATGCATTTTGCTAAGCCTGAAAAATGCGTTTGGTCTTGCTTTCTACATTTGCAACGCCATGCTCTCTCTTTCTGTACTTTTTCAAAGGCGAAAACAGCTGAGTGCATTTAGGCACGCGCGAAAAATGCAGTTGCGCGTTCGCCTCTTCTGTACGCAGCTTGTCTTTACGACGAAAGATCAGCGGTTAACTCAATTTTATTGTGGTTGTGGAAGGAGCAAGCTGCGCGAATGCATTCTGCCCGCTTTGAAAAATGCACCTGAGCATGTTCTTCCTGATTCTGGGTCTGTTTCGGTACTCCTGCAAAATGTCGAGCATTGTTCTAAACACGTTTTTCAATTCCTACAGCTACTCTTATGCACAGAAAACACGTCAGAAGAATCGAATACGTCATGAGCCAGCAGAAACCAAGACTAGACATGATAGGAGTGCCAAATGCATTCTTCGGGCGACGAAAAATGCATTTGGAATGCCCTAGAAATGCATGTCGGGTAGATGTTGGTCGTAAAACACCAATCTACTTCTGCATCGCTGATCAAGACTTGAGCATCGTTAGCCACGTCGCATTTCATGATGCGCTCGGCTCAGTATTCCTGTGCACGCACGAACATACTTCTGCATCGCTGATCATTTTGCAGCGGTCGTACTCTCATGTCTTCGGCAGAAGTCTTTGCGATCTCGTGAGACATGCGGTGCAAAGCATCAGCTGCATCGCTGATCATACTGAACAGGGATTGAAAGAGAAAGTCAATGCCTCCACCTCCCAAAGTAATGCCTCGGGCGGCGAGGGCGGGAGACTTGAGCATCGTTAGCCACGTCGCATTTCATGATGCGCTCGGCTCAGTATTCCTGTGCACGCACGAACATACTTCTGCATCGCTGATCATTTTGCAGCGGTCGTACTCTCATGTCTTCGGCAGAAGTCTTTGCGATCTCGTGAGACATGCGGTGCAAAGCATCAGCTGCATCGCCGATCATACTGAACAGGGATTGAAAGAGAAAGTCAATGCCTCCACCTCCCAAATCATCCCAAATCAGGATGTGAACCACGTAGATGACGGATCTGTAAGCAAGTAGGGGCTGGCCAAGGCCATGCCGAGGTCTGAGCAGAGCTTGGCCGGGTAGACCTCCGCCACCGACGATCCTTTGGAGCGGCGATGTGGCAGGCCTGTGCATGAGCAGAGGCCTCGTCCTGAGCAGAGTTTACTTTCAAACCTGCGAAGATCAGAACAGTCCAGATTGCCAAAGACAAAACATGTGCGAGCGCGCCATGGTCTGTGATATTGACACAAGTCGATGGCCTGGTAATGAACATGAGGACGCTGGAGGAGCTCCTGCAATTCAGGGAGATGCCACAGCTTACTGCTCCAAGGACCTGCGATGCACCAAGGGAGAGAGAAACGATCAAGCCATGCCACGATGCGCAACGCAGCCCGAATAGTCTCATTACCCTGTTGCACTTTTCGACAATCTTGTTCCGACAAAAACTCGCCAGGCATCCCCCATGGATGTGCCTCATTTCGTGTTGCCGCTGTACGATCTCGAGTACTTGAGAAAGAACGGCAAGGAACAGCTAACATGGCACCGAGCACTTCGGAACGGAAGATTGCTCTTCGGAGATTGCGCAGAACTTTCTGCGACGTCAGGTCGTAGTCTTTGCCTTGCCGGGTGTCCCATTCAAAAGATCGAAATCCCAAGCGTCGAAGCGCCCGAGCCACGCCTCCTCTGCCGCTGAACAAGTCGAGGAGGTGGCGCCCTCGATGCTTCGGCGTCATGGTGGACCAGGTGGGTTCCATTTGCCGAGGATAATATCCCCGAGACGTTCTTCGCACAGCTGGCAGTGCGTCCTCAGCTTTTCTGGAAGCTCGAGGAAGGCAGACGCCAAACGTCCTGACTTCTCGTACCTGAGGACGGACTTGCGACTTTTCCAAGTGCCCCTTCGCTGGACCTCGTGCTGGGTGCGGAGGTTTCTGGCTCGGTCGATGCTCGGGCCGGAGTGGCGCATCTGATACGGGGACAGACTCACACCCAGTGCGGCGGTCACGTCGCTGAACACCTTGACGAACTCGCCGTAGTTGAAATCCCAAAGTGGCGTGGACGCGTGCTGTTTCTTGAGCGCTGCGAAGACGATTGGCCCCCAAGAAAGGAGGTACGGTGAGTCCAAGATCAGTGAGGTGTCGAACTCCCCTGTCTTTGAAGGTTCCCCCAGATGCTCCGGGGAAAGAAGCAGACTCCACTCCTCGAGTGTGTGGCGCACTGGGCTCACTAGCGAGTACACTGTGCACCGAAGCAGCTCGGACGGCCTCGCATAGCTTGAGAGCGCCACTGCGGGTGAACCCGCGCCTTCGCAGCTCTGCCGCCACCGCGGCCCACACAGCCAGCGGGTACGGTTTTCGACTGCGGCCTGGACACAGACGATGCCATCCCTTGAGACCTCTCCAGGACCTGGGCAGCTTCAGGCTGCCACGCTTGCCATACTCTGGGTTGGCATGCAGGAAACCCGCCAACAACTTGTCTCCTCTGTGCGGTTGCTCCCCCGCCCAGAACATGTCGTTGAGGTACGTCACCATGGCCGCATCCACATCGCTGCTGGTTGCGAGGCTTAGTCGGAGCCGCTTCACGAAGGCCTTGAAACCCACCACCTCTTTTCGGTAGTAGGCCTGGACCTTCTGAGTGACGGCCTGCTCCTCGAGGAAGGTGCTCCCTCTCTGAGCTGCCGCTTCCCGTGCCTCTAAGTACTTTCGGAGCCGGCGGCGCACACGCTTTGCCACCACTCGCTGCCTTGGTTTGACTTCTGCACGGTCCTCGGACTCTGTCGTGGATGAGGACGTACTCTCGTTTGTTTGCTTGATGCCCTGGACCTGTTGTAGCTGTTTTTCCGTCTGAGGGAGCTCCGTTCTTCTTGATGGAGGCGTCACCAGAGTGTCCCCTAGCGATTCTGCCTTCAGGGCCCTCTTCGAGGGGGGCGCAGGCTGCAGCGCAGGCTTTTCCAGCTGTCGGCCTCTCTTCTTTGCCGCTGACTTTACTGTTGGCCTCGGACTCAGCTGCCTCTTTCTCGAACCTTGGGGCAGCACGAGATGGCCCATCGGCAGCATTGGCTTCAGAGGGGACCCATCGCACGGAGGTCGAGACGTTGCGCCCTAAGCAGTACGCCCCGAACTTCCTGATCACCTTCAGAACCCCGAAGTGACGACTACGACAACGTTCGAAAGCAAGACTGACAGCCATATTGTCCACTAACAATAGTTGTCTCATATCACGACCGTGCCTGCTGCAGACAACCCGCTCCAGAGACATGAGGAGGGCGCGCGACTCAAGCTCATAGATCCCTTCGCCTTCTTGAAACCTCCAGCGCCCAGCCCTCTTGACGTCCCACAGGTCCTTCCTGAGGAGGCTCGCCGGAACTTCGGCGAATTCCCGTGAGGCGGCCCATCCAGCTGATGCCAGGAGCTCATCGTCGACCTCTGAGTGACTTTCCAGGTCAGCATGCAAGGCCTCCAGCGCAGACTCCCGAGCTGAGTGGCCCGCGCGTCGCTTGAACCTCTCCCTCTCAGAGAGCCGGCCCACAGCGGACACCGCAGCTTTGGGTGCCTTGCAGGTACAGACGCCATATCCCTCTAGACTGGCATCGCTGGCAGAGATCAAGTCGTTCCATTGTCTCCACCAGTCACTACGGCAGAAGATTAAGGCCCCGCGCGCTGCCTTCAGCTCCTCGATGACGCTGGGCCATAGCTTTGCCTTCTCCAGATAGTGGCGCCTGACGAACCGGTAGCAATGATGGAAAATTGAAAGCAGCGGACGATTCACCAGGAAAGCATACGTCAGGTGGCCTATGACAACCTCCAACAGCCGTCCCGTGGATCGCCCCCGCGTCAAGAGCCCATCGAGCGCCTTCCGGATACGCAACGCTCTATCTGGCTTCACCTGTGTGCTGCGAGCTTGCATGTCCAATCGACACCCCAGGGCTTCGGCCTGGCCAAACATGACCTCGCCAGGGTGCAAGAGCAGGCCGCGCGCATTGAAGGTGTTCTCGACCTCTTTGAGGGACTCCGAGACATACCTGCGGTCAGTCGACATCAACCCCAAGTTGTCCACGTACACATAGTGGTAATCTCCTGAAACCCCGGCCTGGTTCTCCTCCAGGTTCGCCTGGATAACGACGGGGTCGCTTCGATCGTTCACCAGCCTTGAGTGGGCCAACCTGGGTATTGTTGCAATAAGATTCTCGTTAGCGGACTGGGCAAAATACAGCGACCAACTGCACCCCATGCAGAGCGGGCGAGGGAAGGGGAAAACGAGCTGCTCAGGATGCACCCATTGCCCGTCAACCTCTCCCCCATCCCTCATCACCCACTTCAGCGGTATAGGGTCCAAGCAGAAAAACTTTCCCAACCATCTCGGTTGGATCATCCTGTGGAAGCAATCTTTTACATCTGACAGTCCTACATGCAGCCCGACCCCGTTGATGAGCGCCTCGAAGTCCATGCCCGAGCCCGGGTCAATCTCAATCTCGATGCGGGCAAAGGCCTCAGGAGTACAAAGTCGGACAGCAGGGGGATCAACAAGTCTAGCGTTAGCTCGCCTTCCATCGATGATCAATCTCTGCTTGACACCGTCCGACTTCTTGACGAAAAAGGCCCCAGCCCTCTCAGCAGGAACCAAGGTCAGGTCGAGGAAACCGATGCGGTACAGCTTCTGAATGAATTTACGATACTCTTTTAGACTTCCCCTCAGAACCGGATCCCAGTATGGAACAATGGTGCAGTCCTCAGGAGTCTCACGAAGCATGCGCTCAGGAGCTTCTAGGTGGCGACGGGCGTCTTGAGGTAGAAGATCGAGGATCTGAGGTGAATCATGTAAATCTTCAGGTAGAGAGACGCGCTCGCCCATGAAACTCGCCAAAGTTGACGGGAGTCCCTGATACTCAGAGCTTCCCTTGAGCAGCTCTCTAATGGCTGCCTCACCGGAAAGCGCAGGCAAAAAACTGGCCTCGGAGCGAACTGATGATCGCGCCAGCGCCTGCACTCTCTCCAAGACTTCGCTTTGCAGCCTTGAAGGTGGAAAGGTAGGGGTCGATGAGGACGAAGTCCCCGACATCCAGTTGAGGAGATCAACCCCTTGCCGAAAGTATTCGAATTCAAGCTTTCGCCGTCCCTGCCTCTGTGCGCAGCGGCGGCTCACCGGCCTTCTTCCCACTCAGGGCGAGGAAGAGGGAAGAGCCGATTCCCAGGGCTGCTAGAAGAAGGCGACCTCCCCCCTGGGCAGGCGGCCGCCGAACCATCCATCATGGGCTGTGCGGGGCCTCCAGCCCGCGGCTGGCGCGGCCCCGGCCCCGTCCACGACCCCCGCCACCAGGGAATGCTTCCTTGCCTGTGAGCTCGTCACCATCGGGCGGCTGTGGGCCCCGACGAGCGTCCTTCATTTTCTGTCTTGCAGTCTGCAGTTCCTTCTTTGCCTCGCTTGGCCGCCCAAGCGCGCAGCTCGGGCGAAACCAGATCGTCGGGAGAAAAGCTCCCGGTGAAGAGTCGGGCGTGGCCCCACTCGGGCCCTGCCGCGCTCCCCGAGGCAAATGCCTCTACGATGGTTTGAACACGTCTGGAAGCAGCTTCAAAGCTCGCAAGGCTTGGAAGGTTAAGTTGATCGTAACTTCCCCCCAAATAAATGATCTCGATGAGGGCTCGGAGCTCGTGGGCAGTTCGGTCGTGCTCCGCCACGTTGTGCTTCTTCATCCACAGCTGCATCCATGAACGGGGCTCACCGCCGTGCTTCAAGCAATGCTTTAACATGTGGAGTGTGCTTTGGGGACCCTGGTGCGGCCAATCGCTGAAGATGGATGAGCTCGAATCCTGAACCACTCGTCTCCAGTCCCTGTATCGTTCACCTTGGGAGTCGTACTCGACCCACAAGGTACGGGCGTCATCGACCTCGGACGGCTTGACCTTCTCCTCCGTGATCTGCGTCTCCGGCTCGTCAAGACTCCCAACGCCCAAGGCCTTGTCGATTGACACTGCCTCGGAGACTCCCAGCTCGAGCTGTCGCCTGGACAGCCATTCGTCGAAGGCATCATCCTCGACTACTTCGACTCGAAGCCAGCGGCCCTCACGGACGATCACCCCATCTGTGTCGGACAGGCGGAGATCGTCGCCTTGTAGAGCCCGCACTTCCATTCCCAAAGTGAAAGAACCTCTGGGATCAGCCACTCTCCATCTGGAGCCCGCCGGAATTGGTCCATGTTGTACTGCAGCCCGTCTAGGTCCTTTCGCTGTGACCCGAAACCGAGGCTGAAGCCAACCCTCCAATCCCACCAGGCTTCCATCGGCCAGAAGCACCTGTCCAGTCCCGTCACCAGGGAGCCTTCCATGGGCACTGCGATGGGCCTCATGGGCCTGCCTCACGTGACCCTTCAGCTCTGCATCGTCCAAGGGCTTCTTGAAGCGATATACGCCTCGCCTCAGATTAGCCAGGGTGCGCACTCCAAAGGGGACGTGGCGAACTTTGTCTGGACCATCCTTGGCCTTGCCCAAGAGGGATTCTTCGTAGACGTCCCCATCAGGGGTCAACACCCACCAGGTTCCAGCTACCAGACCTGGAGCCAGGACAATCCGCTCATGCCACACGTCGTCGTCCGTGTACCAGACAATCACTTTGGCACCAGCATCATAGTCAGCCGACATACTCAATGATTCCGCCGCCTCTGCGTCGTGGAGAGCTTGCGGGCCCGGCCTCTATCTTCGCTCGTGACCTCGACACTATCCAGGATCTGATGCCCAGGGCGGAGCCCACAGTGATCAAAGATGCCCCTGCGCCCTGCCACAACCACGACTGGTTCCAATGTCCTTGGGTCGTGCCTTCGTGGGTCCTGTTCTCACTATGAATCACCTCCACTCGGCACTCACACACGCAAGGTTCAGGAGGTGGGAAGCAAGTGAGCGTGGGAGCCTTTCGCCCCAAATCAAGCCAGTGCGCAGCCCAAGCGACCAATAGCGCTTCCCATCGCATGGCCTTACTATCCTTTCAGACTTGAGCATCGTTAGCCACGTCGCATTTCATGATGCGCTCGGCTCAGTATTCCTGTGCACGCACGAACATATTATTTCTTATTGTTGTCGTTTGTTTTTCATGCTGTAATGGAGCAAACCGAATAGACATGGATGACCAGATGTTGCCCGAATGCATTTTGCCAGGCCTGAACAACGCATTTGGTCTTGCTTTCCACATGTGCAACGCCGCGTGCTCTTTCTGCACTTTTTCAAAGCGAAAACAGCTGAATGCATTTGGGCACAGGCAAAAAATGCCTTCGGACTTTGGTTTCTTCCGTACGGGGCCTCTGTCGTTGACACAAAAGTCAGCTATCAAGCGAGTTTTTTATTGTGGTTTTGGAAGGAACAAGCTGCGCGAATGCATTTTGCCTGCTTTGCAAAATGCATCTGGGCATGTTGCTTCTGATTTTATAGGCCCCTCTTCGGGAATTTTGCGAAACGGTGATTATGGTTCCAAACGCGTTCAAATCCTATATATAGATGTTCTATGATGTTCTTATGCGCAGAAAGACATGAAATTTCAGCCGGCAGAACCCAAGATTGCAACATGATAGGAAACCAGTGCCAAATGCGTTTTCGGGCGACGAAAAATGCATGTGGAATGCCCTCAGACGCATGTCGGGGAAATGTTGGTCGTAAAATACCAGATGTCCAAGCGCTGCCCGAATGCATTTTGCCAGGCCTAAAAAACGCATTTGGTCTTGCTTTCCACATTTGCAACGCCGTGCTCTCTTTGTGCACTTTTTAGAAGGCGAAAACAGCTGAACGCATTAGCGCGGGCGAGGTCGCTCACCACGGGCCCGAACCGCGAGACACCCGCCCGGCCCCATTGCGCTCATGGTCGGAGACCATGGGAGACCACGAACCCAAGCGCGCGACACCCTCTCAACCCCTGTCGCTCATGATCGGAGAGGAGACCGTGGAGATCACGACCCGGACCATTGCGCTCATGAGCGGAGACCATGGGAGACCACGGACCCAAGCGCGTGACACCCTCCCAAACCCCTGTCACTTCCAAAACCATGAAAACCATGGACCGCGTGACACCCACCCGGCCCCATTGCGCTCCATGCGTCCACGGACCCAAGCGCGTGCCACCCGTCTAGCTAATCGCGTGGCACTTTTTTCTGAGGAGAGCGCCCCAAACAGTTCCTTTTGGGGAAAAACCACAGGCCCGAAGCGCGTGAGGACCAAAGGCCCGAGCGCGTGACACCCACCCGGCTCATGTTGGCCGCAATTGTGCTCATGATCGGAGACCGTGGGAGACCGCAGGCCCGAAACACGTGACACCACAGGCCCGAGCGCATGACACCCGCCTGGCTCATGATCGGAGACCATGGGAGACCACAGGCCCCGAAGCGCGTGACACTCACCCAGCCCCAATTGGCCCCAATTGTGCTCATGATCGGAGACCATGGGAGACCGCAGGCGCGAGCGCATGACACCCGCCCGGCCCCAATGGCCCAATTGTGTTCATGATCGGAGACCATGGGAGACCACAGGCCCGAAGCGCGTGACACCCATCTGGCCAAGCGCGTGACACTTTTTTTTTTCTGAGGAGAGGACCCCAAACGGTTCCTGTTTGGGGAAATACTTCGCAAGAGTGAGAAGCTGCACTGCACTGGGTTCCGCGGCCTGCATTCCTCTGGCCCCAATGCTGTTGGCACACAGGTCAAGAAGCTCGAGCTTGACCTTGTCCACAAGGGCTCTCGCAAGGGCCTGGCAGGGTTGCTCCCGTGCGAGCTCTTTGACACAGTGTACACACAGTGCACGGCTGTCTGAGCCATGGTATCTGTTTAATGAGGTTGATGCGTTCCTTCTGTCAACGCAAAGCCAAAACATGTCACAACTCGCTCGCCAGCTACCAAACTCCGACATATTCTGCCTCCGGAATGAGATGGTTTTCTTTCAGACATGGACGTCGTAATGCTCGGACATGGCTTCTCTGGGGAAAAAGACCGGCAACGCACAAAACAACGAGCGGAACTAACAAGCGCCGTGCTTGGCCACGACTTGCCACGACACTGACGGCGATTGTACTCCCAGATTCCAGTACATCGTAATTCCCCTCGCCTTGACTATTGCAATGGCTGTGACAGCTACTGTGTTTTGTCCTAGCACAAGTGCTACTTTTTCAACAGCTACAGTAACTTCTTCTACTACTGCTACATCGAAAAGAAATACAAGTGCTGGTGCTCCTACTGAGTCCTACTGCTGCTATTTGCGTCTGTTTGCTATTATGAATCACTGCCCGGAAGAGTCCGTCCGCCTTTGCGCCCGCGTCCCCAATATGGTTGCCGTGCAGGTTCAGGCGCCGCAGGGCCACGTGGCTTGCGAGGGCCGGTGCGAAGGCCTCACAGTCCCACCAGTGTAAAATAGTGCACTGCCTTAGTGTAAGTGTCGAAGAGAAAAGCATTTCTTATTTATAGAGCCGCAGGATGAGACGCGGCGGTGGAACGTTGTATCAAGGTTGGTGTCTGAACCTCTGGATGAGCATGTTTTTCAGCCGGCCTGCATGCGCTGGTTTCCGAGTTTGTCGGCCTCCGCGAAGTGCCCGATGGTGACGTGGTCGATGAGTTCCACGATCTCAAGAGAGGACATTCCCTGGAAGGCCGTAGCCAAGCCCTGGGGCGCATTGCATTTTGCACCAGCAGGCTTTCCACTACTGCTACCGCAAGCATTCAGCACGAGCCTTGTAGACTTTCGTGCGCGAAGCTGGCAGGCGGGCCTTTCGTGTGTAGACTAGTGGAGGTGCAACTCTGAGATGACGTATTGCCAACAGTCAGCCAACACCAAAACACAAGACACTGGGGCACATGCTGACTAAAGCGCTGTGCCTCAACGCAGCTACGGCAGCTACAACAACTCCTGTTTTCGGCCTTCGTAGAACTGTTGCTGTCGAAGTAGACCTCATGGACATTGCCGGCCTACAGCGCAGTTTCACGGCGGCACGCGCATCCAATGCACGACGTCACTCGACACCTGCATAGCTTGCATAACGTCGGTCATCATGTGCTCGACGACTGGGTCCAACAGCTTGATAGACGCGTTTTGGGCGAGGACCTGAAGCAACTCAGCTGCTGTCCCTATCCATGAATCAAACATCACCGTGCCTCCGCGAAAGAGCGGCCAACATAGCCGCTGTCGCCGTTCATGCCAATGCGGAGCCCAATACGGTTTTGGCACCCTTGGATCTCTGCCACGGCCTGGAACGTCGCTGCACCGACTTGCTGCGATACCTTGTGACAAGCGATCTGGCCTCGAGCCCGTCTCTGCCAATGTGATTGTCAGCCAAGCTAAGGAGTTCAAGTGCTGCAATCTCATCGTTCAGACATGCCGCGGCCACCTGCAGAGCAGCTCACATGAAGGCCAAGAAGCAGGCCCCAAAAAAACGGCATCTGAACAGCAACCTCAGAGTCTTCAGTCCTTGGCTCCCGCATCACCCAGCTGATTGTGGTCTGCACGCAGCTCCTTAAGCGTGGGGATCCTCAAGATCGTTGCAAAAGCCTCGGCCATTGCACTGTGTTGCTGCTATGACATGGTACGACTTATCAGAATGGGCCTTGTGATACCAACATCTTTGACGCTCTGAAGGACTCTTCCTGCTCTACGTTTATTTCATCTTACGGCCCTGCTGTTTAAATCTCACCTCTCGCTCAACTCCACCAAAGAAAGCTCGAAAGAAGCTTGGATTCAATAAATCCCCAGCCTCACAACTGGCTTCTCCAATGGCATTGTCTCCCACATCCAGGATCTCCAGGCAAAAGGCGTCAGCCAAGGCGCTTGCCAGCACCTTCCGCAGAGAAGGAGGCGAGGAAGAGCAGCACGGTAAGAGTAAACCAGTCAATTCAAAAGATGTAGGACCGTAGGAGGAGCGTAGGAGGTGGAAGATGATGTGTGAAAAGATGGGGGAAGCCTGGAATCCGACATCGCCCATGCTGTTCTGCTGCAAGGCCAGGCTCACCAGGGTCATGTGCCCAAGCTGCGATGCGAGAACCTGGCGACTCCCGCTAGAGGCGTTCCAAGAGCAAAAGCACAAGCCAAACTGCTACATACTGTTTCATACTGCTCTTCAGCCGTCTGATGTGCTAAAGGACAAGGATGATCTGATAGAAACGTACTTCCCTCATGCTGCCTCTTGTCCTTTCTGCGGCTTCCTGCTCTTGAGTCTCCGTCACAGTGGGCTTGCGGAAAACTACCGCCATATTAGCTGTCGGGAGAGGAAGTGAACCAAGGTGAAAAAAGGTCTTGTGAGGCTTGCCGAGGCTTGAAAAGAAGACGCCCACAGTGGAGTCATAGAAGGTAGCCTTCAGCGAGGATTTGAAGCCCAGCAAGAAGGCCACCGCCAAAGTCCGAAGTACCCGAAGGGGTAGGTCACCACCCTGTCGGGAACCCGGCTGTGAGAAACGGAGCAGCCGATATGGAGCTGAGGTCATGGCGAAGACGCCGGAGATGTTTGGGCAACGCGGGTGAAGGGCCGACCGTCTGGGCCTAAACCTGTAAGGTGCGCGTGGGGTCCTCCGAATCGAGATTGCCAACAGGAGAGTAAGCGCGTTTTTAAACTGGTATTGCAAGTTCATGGAGACCGGGGAAGTCTCTACGAATGCAGGGCTGAGATGGTGGCCAAGTGCTGGTCTTCGGCACTCAAGAACCTGAGGGGTCACCCCGACGGAAAAGTCTCGAACAGCGGAGGTTCGGGCATGTGCGCCCCAAAACTTCATGTCGGGCACTGCCTTGATGAGAAGTGTTGTGGCACTGCGTCAAGTCAAACTCTGGCCCATGAATTCGCATGGCGTCCTCATAGCATCGGGAGTCCTCAAGCGATCCCCCGCCCCAGCAAAGAGGTCCAGGTAGTACCGGCCATGATGCTTCTTCAGGGCAGGGCTGGCGGCGCCTCCTTCTGTGTTGGATGACATCTGCCCTATGCTGCCCTGCCCACCCCAACCCGGCCCTACCTACCCTGCCCTGCCCTTGCGCAGTTGCCAAGGCGCATACCCAAGAGCTCCTTGTCCCACTGTTGGATAGATACAGTGGCAACCGAACACCACCTTAGTGCTATAGGGCTTTTTCCGAATGCCAACGTGTGCGAGTTGGAGACAAAGGGTCGCCAAGAGCGCCTCCAACTTCATTGCGTGCCCTACCTTACCTTTCAGTCTTGAGCATCATGAGCTTTTGCAAAACCTGTGAGTGACGACGAATCGGATGTCGGGCTCAGATGTGCGTGATAGCGGATGTGCGTGACAACGCATAGGACCTTCAACTAACCCCAAGCCTGAGCTGCGCTGGTGTTCCACACGGGAAGTACATGAAGCCCCGGAACAAGCCAACATGCAGAGCCTCGATGACGCGCATGTCCAGAGCACACTTGTTCAGGATCAGGCCCGTGACCATGTTCTTGCTCACGGCTTTGATGATGTCCTGGTACGCCACTTTGCCCCGACCATGACACAAATAACTGTCACCGGCTTGTGCCTCCCCCTCTTTCGCCGACAAGTTGCTGTGTGACAAGTCCGCCTGCAACGTGTCGCAACATGTTTTGACAGTGCATTCACAGGACCAAAGCATAGCGTGCTAGCAGTGAAACTTCCAATCCTCCAGTGAAGAGGCTTCTTTCGGCCCTTGCAAGGGCTTGCCCTGAACTGTCGTCTGGTCGCAGCTTAACGTCTGAACATGTTCCTCATGAGTCATGAAACCTGAAATCCCTCGAGAGCCAAACTAGCGTCCTGGGCGCCCAAGTGCAAAAGCAAAACATCCTCGTAAGTACAGACTTACATCGTTGTGATCTGGCCTTATTTTCCTTTTTTGAAGATATTTGGTTTGCAGCAGATGCTCCTCCTAGTTCTGACGCCATCCAGCATGGTAGCTCCTATTCCAAGCAGCAGTCTATCCGGTGCAAAACCCACCCACAGGTCAGAGGGACGGTCTCAGTCCAGCACGTCTCTGAAAGGAAGTGCGCCACGGCCTGGAGACTTCAAGTTGTTCTTCACAGTTGTGTGTGCGTGTGCAGAGGGGTAGACTTTTCAACGATCGAGCACTTGGTGCTTCAAGATCTGGGCGGGTCAAGGCACGATGATCATGAAGCGTTTTGCCTAACCTTCGGGCTTGTAGGCTCTTCGTAGACATTCCCTAGCACAATTGCTTGCAGCAGAACTGCCCTTCCGAAAAGGCAGCTTGCACTTCAGAAAAGAAACCGTCATGATGCTTCTTCGTAAAACTTAGTCCAAAAAACCCTGCAACAACCTTTTGTGCAGGCACTGGCCTTCAACTCAACGATGTCATTGAGAGTGTCCTGCAGTTAGGTCCTCTACTCTAGCATCCTCTACTCTAGAATGAAAAAAACCCTTCTAACCCCAGACCCTGAACCCAAGATGAAACTTCCCACTACTTTCTCATCCGCCGACCTTTTTGTGTGTGGGAGGGTCCCCTGTCAAGTGCGAAGTGTGTCGGTCCGCGTATTGCGGCCTCCGTCTTGCATTTTCGCATAGGGTAATCCGGGAGGGCGAGTTGGCAGCTTCCCGGTGAGCAGACTGGCTCTTCAACAGTTCGCCTCGAAAGGCCGGCTACATGGGCTACAGTTTGTGAGGCCTGTGCTACAAGCCCTTTAAATCACTGGGCTTGGTCTAGGCCGGTACAGTGATGTTAGATCTGTTAACTCCTTTAAGACATAGCCATTAAATCTTGTTAGACTACAACCCAGATTTGCCATCTCCACCCCATAATCTTCTATCATCTTATAAGGTCTTTTTGGAGATGACCAATGGTGAGGGATCATTGGGCAAGTTGAAAGGTTTACAGCGGTTTGCAGTTCTTGCATGTTTCATTCAAGTTAGACCGTCTAACTACTATTTGCTCAAGAACGCCCAACATACAATGTGACAATCCCGACATTGCCCTTACAAGAAAAATTGGGGGTTCTTATTCAAATAGTAGTAAAAGGGTTGAGAGGGCTTCTGGCTTACTGCTTACGGCACAGGGCATACATGGTATGGTGTGGGTGTTGTTTTTCGTGTGGAGATTTCGGATTAGAGATTATACTTGGTGCTGGGGTAGTGGCGAAAAAGGGGCGGGGGGCTAGTGCCTTTGCGTCTTCGGCCCGGCAAACCTGGGCCGGGTGCGGTAATCATGCAGCCACGACCAGCAGAAACAAGCCAC